AATAGGGACAGGCAATCTGCCGTAAACCAAAAAATGCTATCACACTATATACTCCCAGACTAGTTGTGTCCAATGAAACCCACTGTGCTAGATATGAAAACTGTACTTCCCGGTGTTTAAAACTTAAACGGACAAATAGAATGAAATGCCCCAAAGAGTAGGTCACTTATAACAATTGTCACATTACCTTGCCGCTGGGATGGTTTTATACTTGTGAAGGAATAACTTATAACTACATTCCAGCAAATTTGACCAAAGCCCGCTGTTTTCTCAGTAGATTAACAGTTGTGCTACCCGAAAGGGGAGATCTCCTTACTCCAAACAGAATGAAATGGTGGTCCCCCTATACTTCACCAGGGTGCGACGATGATGTGGGATTTTTAACAGATGCTGAAGTTATTCCTATGATTATTTCTGTAATAGGTCAGCCTGCAATTGGAATCCATGCTGAAAAGGCGGCTAGAAAACTAGCTTGCAAGGTAGTCAAGGAACTAAACACCACCTCTGCAGCCCTGGCACTAATTAACCAAGAGCTCCAGGAGCAGAGACAGGCAATCTTAGACAACAGAGCAGCAATAGACTATTTGCTGTTATTTCACCATCAGGGTTGTGAAAGAATTAAAAATATGTGCTGCTTCAATCTGACGAATTGAGAGCAAGACATAAAAGCACTCAAAGACTTAGCTACAAAGGTTCATAATGAACAGATAGGCTGGGATTTGTTTAAATGGCTAACGAGTTGGTTGCCTGACATTACCTGGTTAAAGCAGCTGATACTTTGTATAATGGCATTAGGAATTTGTATTATGATAACCTGTTGCTTTTTACAGTGTATTCCTTTCTCAAGAATTAGAACTAGATATAAATAAATCAATGATTTGATTTAGGCCCAAAAATCAGTGGGGAATGTGGGACCTAAATTACAAACCCTTGCTAAATGGCAAAGGGCCTAGGAGACAGTGTCCTGAACCCCTCCCATTGTAGCCACAGCCCCGACCTTTGTTCCAGCCCTGGCCTAAGAATGTGGATCACTCTTGTATTGTTTGAAGTCCGGATCTGAATCTATCTGTAAATTAGAGACTCCAGACATAGAGCCCCAAGTTAACTGACAAACTGTTTGCTCATCCGGAGTGTCTTGGTGACCTTTGAGACATCCTATGGGTGGTACCTGTCACTCATCAATATGTGACTGTTGAGCATGTGACTGCTGACCACCAGCTCAAGTCAGCAGACCTTTGTCCCCTGTCTGTGAGCCCAAAAATGTTAACCCCCTCTTTTACTCCCTATAAGAGGACCTCAGCCCCTGAGCTAGGCGCCTCTCTGAGCCAGCCACTTGGTTCTGAGAGTGCCGTCTGGCCAGACTAATAAAGGTCTTTTACCATCTAGCCTGGTGTGTTCCTTCCTGGGTTTCTCGTTCCTCGATAGCGCTCATTGGGCTTTAGGGCCCAACATTGCAAAGGCCTTTTGGGCTGTTTGCGCTCTGTGGAGTGGAAGTGAGACTTTTAAGTCTTACAAAAGGTGAGACCTACCAGAGGCCAGTCCGGCTCATTTGTCACAGCTGTAACAGAAATCGCTGTAATCAGAGGCCTGGTTAACATCTCCATCCAGGTGTCACAGAAAGACCGTGCAGGTGCAGCGACTCTCACCGAGAGGGAGCTGCCGCCTGCCTCCAAAGGGAAGGGAGGAGGGGGTAAAGGGAGGGCAGGGATAAGGGGAAAAATGAGAACCAAGACCTGTCATGTAAAGGTACAAGATCCCAGTAATGAATGTAACTGTACTGTACACCTAGAATGTACCAATAAACTCAATGAGAAACAAAACAAAACCAACCAACAAATAAAAAACCAAAAAAGCGAGCTGAGCTACCATCCAGCACGAGCCAGGACCGCGAGGCCGCACGCAGCCGCGCCCTTTCCTTCCTCTGCGCTGGCTCTCAGGTGGAAGCTATGTGTCCCATCTGGGTTACCACCCTGACGGTCTGCCCACCAGCTCCCCGTCCAGCAGCCAGGGGTGTCTTTTGGAGCTTGTGTCAGTCGTGCCAACTGCTTGTTCGGTTCTTATTCCACTTTATCCTGAGACTGGCCTGGAACTCTCCACACGCACACCACAGCTTTCAGCGGCGCTCTGCCCACGCACGGTCTGACCTGCGCGGCCCCCAGCCTGCTCCGGCCGCCCTCCCGGCTCGCTGGCATCCACTGACACACAGCAGGGCCCTGCCCACCCCGCGGGGTCTGCAGGTGCTCCTCTCTGGGCTGCCGCTCCAGAAGCTGCTGGAATGTCAGCTCCCCCGGAAGGCCTGAGCCTCCTCACCTGTGATCTCCCGCTATCTTTCTTTCTTTCTTACTTTCTTTCTTTCTCTCTCTCTCAAGCTTTCTATTTATTTCTGGCATAATATATGTTCTCTTTATTGCTGTGAACCCTCTTACACTCAGCTTCGTGAAAGCAGACTCTGCCTTGCTCACTGCTGTTTGATATTTGTTTTCATATCAGGTCTCTAGTGCAGCGCCTGACACACAATGGCTTCCTAACTGGTTGTAAATGAATAACGTGAATGCTCACTAAGAATAAAGAAGGAGCGAGCACAGGCAAGCGGGAGAGGGCGCCTTCTTCAAGGGCTACAGGTGTTATTTATTCTGCTAAGTAGTTAAACTCACTGCCTTCCTGATCAGGGAAAGGGATTCAAATAACTGTGGGGACTTGAGCAGACTTTGATGAGTAAGTTTGAAAATCGTGAGTTCAATCACTGGAAATTCCACAGTGAGGCTGGGTTACTAAACAGTAGGTTATGACCAGCTATTTTCCACGTTTGAGTCCAAAGAAGCCGAAATAACAATAAACTTCATTAGGATTCTACACATATATATCAATAAATATTTTCTACTAGGGACAAGAATTGAAGAAAAACAATCTGAAAATCCTATGTGCCCAGCTTTTTTACATTTCTAATGTATCGCCTTTTCATTCTAAACACTATGTGCTATTCCTTTTTGGTTTTCTTGCTCATTTTTAGTGGAATTTATCCATTCTGTAAGAGCAGGAAATCTGTCTTAATGTAGAGACAGTGACCAAAGCAGTCACACAAAGGACAAGGCCGTGACTGGAAAAGGTGTCTCCCGTGTAGCAGGCGTGGTTCTGGGCTCACACACGCGCTCCGACTCGTTCAGCACTAACATGAAAGCGACGGGTCGGGCTCTGCTAGGGTCTCCACCATGAAGGAAGCAAAGCACAAGGAGGCAAGCTCACCTGCCCGGGTCTCGGCGGCGGGCAGTCTGGTTCTCACCGAGCCCCGCGTCCTCCCGGAATGGCCTCCCGCTCTTTCTTCGCCGTCCTGGTTCCTTTTCCCATGCGGGGCCGAAGGCGGCTCTCAGGCGCACTACATGCCGAACCACAGAGCCACATCCCCAGCGCCGGACTTGTTATTTGGGAAAAGGAGTTCTGAGCGCTGCAGGTGCGTTCTACAGCTACCGGGATTGCATTAGCAGAGAGGAAGTAGGAAGTCGCAGCAGTAGACGTAATTAGTTGTTATGCTGTTTGGAAATGATGAGCTTTTTCAAAAAAGTATCCAGTTTTTATTGATGGGCAACACCAACGGTGAACAGTAAGATTTTGCTGTTGCCCTCTTTCCCTTCTTCGGTGAAAACGTACGGAGAAGCGCGGGAGCCTCTTTCTGAGAGCAGAAAGATTATAAACCCACAACCCGGGGAGCGTGAGAAGATTTACTCCTTTTCCTCCCTATGTTCCCTTTCTCTCCTTTCTACATTTTTATTCAGTAAGACATGAGGTCTGATAAATTAACAGTTGGGAAGCGTTCTGTGCTCTCGTTGATCCAGCAGCTCACTAGTGTTTCTTCAGAAAGTACGCAAACACCTACTGTGTGCCAGCCGGCCTGTTAGGCTTGTGCAGCGGTGAGAGAAGCTGAGGTAAAGAGGTCCGCACACATCATGAAAGCGTTACACACGCGCACAGCAGCGCGTGCCCGTGCTGTGCGTCACACCGCGCCCTTCGCACTCCGCACACCCGTGTACATCCCGGTCGCTCCCTGGACTCTGCTCCTGCTGCGCATGCTTCGCAAGTAGCGCAGCTGTCGCGGATGCTAGGAAGATGACGAGCGGGTTCTGGGACACAGGGCCGGGAAAACCACGAGGGCAGCGGCAGTCCCAGGAGAGGCAGCGCAGGGGCGATGGGTCTCGGAGTCCTCGGGCCCCAGCACGGCCGGGCATCTCCGCTCTAGGACGAAGCAGCTGCTCAGAGCCCAGGCCTGCCGTGCAGGGGCGCACAGCGGGTCCCTCTGACAAGGAACCGGAGCTGCCGGCGCAGATGCTGCTGAAATGCAGCCGGTATTTAGCTCATGAGCCTGTGCTGTGCACCTGCTGTGAGCAGATACAAAAGGGAAAGTGCAGCTGACCGCACAGTCCCGCGTGTAATTGGGGAGAATAAACAGACGCGAGCACCGAGGCGGGAGACAGGGAGGCTAAATGGAGTAAATGGGGCGCTCGTCCCGCTGCAGGAACCGCTCAGAGCCCTGGCGTTTGCTTTCTGGATGGCGGAGGCCATGGGAGGCATTCAGATGGACACAGACAGCAAGGCTGAAATCCAGGAAGAGAACGCAGAGGCGCAACTCCAGGTGGAGAATGCAAACAAGGCGAAGACTTGTTCCGGTGCTGCCCTCCCCCTGTGCCGTTTCCCCTCCGCCCCAGTGTAGCCAACAAAGACAAGAAAGCTTCTGTAGGCAGCTCACAGGAGCAGGATGTAAAAATAACCGGCGTGTGGGCAAAACATCCTGATACCAAAACAAGTACACGTTAGAAATCTTCCTTTCCAAGAGCCTAATACTAATTTTTGTTCAGAGTGTGAGGCCATGGGACTTTCAGGGTGCTGTTAGGGTTTGGCAACTCTGTTCTGCGCTTGATCTTGGCCAAAAGGCCGAGAAGCAATGGCAACTCTGTTCTGAACAGATCCAAAGTGTCAGGACGACCCCGGAGGTCAGGATGAATACTCACCTCACCGCAGCTGGGGGCTCAAGTCCGGGGGGCAACAAGAGTAATTTCACCGAACATGGAGAGGCATGGACAAGGGCTGGCAGCAGCTGGCCTGAGCAGAATTCCGAGACACTCCTGGAAAGATGGTTTTCTGGCTGAAAAGTCACAGCCCAAGCAAAAGGAAAGGCAAAAGAAGATCATTTTAAGAGGAGGATACAGGCAATGCAATGGCATGGATGGAAAAAAATAAGGAAGACCTTGTAAAATGATATTTTAGATACAGTATTAACGTACTTTCCAGTTAAAGTGCAAATTGAGTTTAACGAATGCAAGGGAGGCACAGCCCTCAGTGACACTTTGGGGTTAAGAGTCTGCTTGGAAAACTCCTATGAACTTTTAAGATCTGCAGTTGATGTATGTCTCAAATTTTCTTCCTTGGAAAGAAAGCACAAAGAATAGAAGTGTAGAAAGGCTACTGGAGAAACCTTGTCATCCTGTGTGGAGAGGGGTCCGACCTCACCCTGGGTGGCCAGCAGAGAAGGGCACCAGGGTTCGAGACTCACGGCCTGTAACCAGCCAGCAGTGTGTTTGGGGAAGGCTCCACGAAGAGGGCCCGGCTGGGACACAGACGGCGAGACTTTTAGAGCTCTGGATGATACAGACAACCCGCTGGGCCCGTGCGCCACCAGCGGGCTGGGCTAGTAATCCAGGAAACTAGTTAGTGTCGGCAGACAGAGAAAAGGACTTTGCCCCTCTCCTGGGGACGGGGATGTGGCACAGAGTGGGTGCGAGCAGAACCAGGGGCTGAAGGAGGAGAGCTGGGAAGGGAGCTGCGGCCTCGGAGTCTGGCTCCAGGGGTCCTCAGGTGAGCAGCAGCCCCGGGACCATCGCCTGCTGGCGTGCTGTGTGCCCGAGATTTCCGTGTGAGCGGACGCTGTGCCAGACTGGTATCAATCAGGATGCAAATAAGAAAATGAGATTTGCGCGGAGTATTTGAAGGGAAGGTCGTGAGGCAGGGAATTCAGCAAAGCGGAAGACAGCCCATCAAAGATCCAGAGCAAGCAGACCAGAGGAAAGGGAGACAACTCAGAAATTAGTAAGAGGAGCAAGCCGCAGGTGCCAGGGTCTCACACCTGTGACAAGGTGGGACCTGAACCAGGTGAGCATGAGCAGGAGGGGCGGCCACTGCTGGAGAAGGTGCGCTCGGAGCAGCCCCCATGTGCTGTCTGCCTCTGGCCCAAGGCTCTCACTATGGTCAGGTACGCAGAGGCAGCTGTGGAAAAGGAGCCCAGGCAAACCAGAAATGGATTCGAAGACAAACAGGCCCCAAACAGCACAAACCCAAGGAAGTGGAGTTGCAGGAATCACAGGATCTCCTTGCCCATGACAAGAAGAGTGCACTCCAAAGGCTGGGTTCTTAAATCATCTCTGAAACCTATCCTTAAGACACGTTTCCCCCGCCTGGCCGGAAGATCAACGGGACTCGGGAGTATCCGCATGTACAACCACGAAAACTCATTTTGCTTTGTGTAGAATGTTCATCAGAAAAGACAAACTGATTTTTTTTTCTCTAAAAGAAATTTCATATTAACATAGTATTTTGTGAAACTTTGCCTATATGTAAGACTTTGTTGTGCTGGCTGTTCTACACATCAGAAAATCCTTGGATTATCTAATGACAGTTTATTTGCCTAAATTGTTGTGCTGTCCGACACTGTGGTGTGGGTTTGTTTTGTATCTCTGTACATTTAGTGGCCATTGGTATTTTGATAAATGCTGTCGCCTGAACAATGTGGTAGGAAGTTTGGGCACCATCTGTGTTTGTTTCTCTACAAGCAGTAACTACCTAGAGAAAAATCTGATGCTCATTTCAGAGATGCAGTATAAACAAAATTCAAGATGATGCCTTTAACATAATCATCGAACCTTTCATTTACGTAGCGCTTTATGCATTTCGGAGTGATGTGATGTGCTTTCATTTAACGGATCTTTGCAAAGTTGTGCAAGTTGGATATAGGTTTCTAAATGACATAAAAGCTCAACAAGAAAAGTAACACTGAAATTAGGCAGTGTTCTAGAAGAAGCCTGGGTAGCACTGTCGAGGTTAATAGAATGCACTCACAGAGCTCGCTCCTCCACCAGGTGTTTTGGTGGTGTGTCAGTGGGTTCGCTCACTTCATCACCAGAACAATCCTCTGCGGTAGGCATTATTATGTTCTCATTTTAAGGATGAGGAGACTAGGGCCCAGGGATTTTATTAACTGATAACTAATACAAGATTTGCTCCTAGGCAGTCTAAGAAAATACCACCTCTCGTAAGCATTGTCTTATTTAAATATTTATCCAGTGAGCAAGATGCTTAATTATAGAGACTTCTGTTTATATTGGGCCCCTCCTTCTTATAAAATGTGTGTGTAATTCAGTGGTGTGCTAATAAACTGGCTCACTGACTCTCTGCAAGAGGAAACAAGACCCTGGACTACAGCATCAGCCAGTGTCCATGGCCTAAAAGTGGACTCACAAACGTCCACTTCCTGCTCCCCAAGAGAAGTCACCAGAGTGCAGTCGAGGGGATGTGGAAAAGCGGGGCGCTCCTGAGCATTCCCAGTGGGCCCAGCTCACCCTGCCGATTGCAATGCACATGGCCCACTCTAGAAATTCCCTCCAAATGTGATTTCACCTAATGCACCCAACTTTCACAGGACCCACTGAGCTCCTGTTTCATTACGTTTTTGTTGAATCTTGTGTAAGAATTAGTAACCATGCCGGTTCTCAGTATGCTTTTTCCCACTGAGAAGGAGGCTTCTCTATCATGAAGCCAGCATGCAGTGCCCTCTCAGAAGTGCCCATGCTCCCAAGCCGCTCAGCAGTTCCTGGCCCTGAGCAGGCATCAGGTTCCCTAAACCTCAGTGCCCTAAGCCTATTTTGCAGCCGGCATGGTTACTGAGATTGTGTTTAGCTGTCTGAGGTTTGGGGTTGGGTCCAACTCCCAATTCCCTGTGTCAGAACATGGAGAGTTCCCAGAATAGTCCCTTGGTGCGGTGGCCTTTATTCCTTTTAAGTCTTCTTCCCCAGGGCCATCAGCTGGACAAACAGCCTGGACTCCCTTGCTGGCACCGGGGGAGCCGCCAGTGCTGCAAAGGGCAGCAGCTTCTGCTCAGCACTGTCTTCTAGCTCTGGCTGCCTCTCCCTAATTCCAGGATAAGGGGCTGGTTTTAATCATCCAGGTGGCACTGTGTGAGTGATAACAGCAAAGCTTTCTGTGGGCAGCTCCCCATTCTGTTCTCCCATGCACATTTTGCGTTCAGTCCTTCCCCTGCTATTTTCTTCCTGTGAAACTGTTTCCCAATGCATTGTAAAATCCCACCAGGAGAGTACAAGGCCCCCTTTACTGCTACACTGAAAGCTAAGGGAAGCTTGGCTTCATCAGTGACAAAATAACCCTCTCCTGCAAAGCCGCAGGGCCGGCAGGGGACCCGGGAAAGCCTGTGAAGGTGCCCAGGTCTTGCTCCTGCCTTGGAGATTCTGCTGCAGTCTGCACCTCCACAGGAGGGATGGAACTGCAAGGACCAACAGTGGCCCAGGGCCGGAGGAGGGAGACTGCCCACCTGCTTACAACACCCTTGCCTCTCCCACCCTTCTTCTCCTCAGCCTCCGCCCCAGGAAGAGAAGACCGAAAGCGTCCCTAGCCCCTAACTAGCTAATGACTGAAGTCTGTGGCAGTGCTTGGTTGCAGATCAGGAAAACAAAGGAACAGCCCAACATTTTACAGCTGAATTTGTATCTTTTTAGGGGAGGCCAATGCAGTTTCCTCACAAGCAAGGGGGAAGGAATAAACTAAGTTCAAGGGCCTCATTCATTCAACAAATATGAATCATGCATATTGTAGGTAGCAATCCCCATGTTAGTGAACTAACAATCAAGGATTGATAAAACACGAACCCTGCCCTTTGGGAGTTTGCAGTCTAAATTGTAGTTCCTAGTTGTGATTAAATTTCTTGATTGTGTTTATATATATTAATCTCTAATAACATGTTAGTCTTCATAGAAGATGTTAAATCTGATTTTCATTTGATCCTATCATAAATGCACTATGAAATAATTATTTGTATTTAGGCATTTATTGGTATAAGCATGAGTATCTTTCCCAGAACAATGGATCTAACAGATTGGATCTAATCCCATTAGGAATTAGAAATGCAGAAAAAAACCTAAAGCCAACATTGTATTTTATGCTAAGCCAAAAAAGAAAAGAAAAGTCATGTTTCACTTACCTTCTGTCCATGTCTGACTTCCATTCAAATTTTATCTCTTCTGTGACACCATCTTTTGAAAGTCTCAGCTCAAATAAACTTCTTTAAATATCTGCAATATTAATATATTAACATGGTCTATTTTAGTTCACTAGTGAGTATCGGTAGTGTATATCAGAATCACTTCGGGAGTTGTAAAAATACAGCTTTCCCGCTCCCACCTCTGAAATACATATCGGTTCAACACAGAGAGGGGCCTGGCATCTGGAGTTTTAAACAGCTCATGACACTGATGTCCCTGTGCGGGTAAGAACCACGGCCCACATCACACTCCATAACCCGGCATTGTATAGTAGCACATGACCCGTAGTGCATTTATAAGGTCATCATCTTTTGTGTATAGGCACAGGCTTGTATTTACTTTGCTAACTATAGCATAGAGAAATCTATAGTAGCAGGAATTTCTACATTTTTTGTTGAAAAAAATGAAGGAATTTCCTCTCAGTAACCTTTATATAATACCACCTCCACTGTTTTTATACCCATATTCTTTATATAGTGGTATAACAAAATTGATGAGAAAGTATTGTTTATTCATCTTTATTTAAGATTGTCTTCCAGAAAGGTTTTGAAATTGAAGAAATGCGCAGAAAATTTCAGAGAAGGGTGATCTCTCAGTGCAGTTCAGCTTACACTCATACAAATCAACACTCTTACTTGGGCTATGGAAAGGAGAAAAATGAAAGATAAAAGAGAGTATACAGTACATTCCCTCACTAAGGAGTTAATATGTTAGGTGTTACACTAGGTGTCAGACAAGTCCCTGTGCACCTGAGGATTTTCCTTTGCCTCTGTGCTGTGTCTTCTATCTTGATAATCAGTTCCTCGTGAGACATTTGGACAGAGGTGGGAGGTGGAAGCCTGCTAAGAGGATTTCATCCTCCATCTCCACTTTTAACCTACGAGCTATCAGGAACCATGGCTACAAACATCCCTACATGTTCTGGGGTTCAAACCTCTGCCATGCAGAGCTCTTCCAGCATCAGCACAGAGCATGGGGCCAGTCCCAAGGATGGCGCCTAGCAAAAAGCAGTCTCTGGTAAATCGTCATCATTAATGTAGTGACATTAAGGCCTTGAAGTACAACCCAGCTGTACCGTAGTTCATTCGGCTCAGTGTCCTTTTCCTGTATTTTAAGCAACTTGGCTTTTAGCTGGGAGTGTGTACTTGGCTGGCTGAAGCAGGAGGACTGCAAGTTTGAGGCCAGACTAGGCAACTTAGAAAAACTCTGTCTCAAAAGAACAATTAAAAAAACCAAAGTGTGTGATCCAGCCCAGTGCTTCTAGTTACACACGCACACACACAGGCGTAATCCTCATAAAAAGTTACCACAAAGAATAACTGTTGATGTCTTTGAATACGGGAAGTGAAGTGAGGTCACTTCCATGGCCCGGCAGATGGGAAGGCAGAACCCATCTTCTGCCACACGTTGTGACATGGTCAGATTGTCACGGGCTTACAGGCTTGTCTGTCGTGTGGACAGTCATGCTGTTTCATCTCTGTTTCCTCGAGGAAAACAGTGACAATGCCTCTTTGGGTTTCTCTGAAGAGTTTGCTATACACGGCAGCTTTTCAGAGTCTAAGAAATTCAAGCATCCAGTAAGGGTTTCTTATTACAACACTTCATTATATTTCTAGCTAAGGCTGCCATCGTTCATTATCTTACTGAAACATCCTGAAAGTGAAAGGCACTGCTAGCAATAGTTACACTGGAATAACAGCTGTAAAGCAGGACACGAGGTCAGTCTGGCTACAATATCTTGCCTCTCTGAAAGCAAATTCCCACGAGCATATTATAATGGCCAGGAGAATGACATGGAATTCTGTGGCCCAAGTTTGGAAAGATGTTAATATGGGTTAGACTCAAGACGATGACAAAAGTATGTGCTGCCTGGGTCCCAACTCCCAGGAAACAAGCAGAGGAGGCACAGGGCTCCTGCTCACTGCTACCTCACTCCTAACTCCTCTGATCTGTTCAGAGGTCTGTCTGAAGGCCGGGTCCTGGAAGATTCACCTTCAGTGAGGAAAATTTAGGTAGAAACTTTCTGAAGTAGCATACATACTTCCTTGGCTCATTAAACAAACATATACCCTGTAATAATTCTTGACATAAATTATTTTTAAGTTCCAGGGGGTATAAAAAGAAAACAGCAACATGTCCTGAGTCTTCTAGATAACTGACTACCTGTTGGGTCATATTATCCTTTTGCTTTAGAACTAATGGGAATTTGGGGGCAGGAGCAAGATTTTGTTTTAATCTCCCACTCCCCTTCGTACAAGAAATAACTTGAACATGCATCACATTCGCTCACCAAAATGTATTTCCTTTTTGGTTGATTTTTTGCTTTTGTTTCTACTCTGTAAGTCAGGAATTTACAGCCTCAAATCCGGACAATATACTATATAGCATCATATGCCTATGAGTCTCGGTACATTTAGCTGCTACACTGTAAAATAAAACTAGGTTTCTCACTCTGGCAGTGCCTCGCCAGCTCTCAACCCACGCAAGCGTCCGCGTTTGGGCTCTGTCTGGGTCACGACTGTTTTGCACCCGTCTGATAGGCAGAGTTCATAAATGAGATCCCAAGTGGACAAGGTGACTCACTGCACTGGAACAAACCACCAGTTTCAGGTGCACCCCAGTCCAGGTTTTCTGTTGGAGTCTCGAGGGACACCTTTGGAGCCTTAAGCAGTCCCACCGGCTGATCTCACCGGGTGTCGGTTCACTCATGGCGAAATTAACAACAGGAGCAGCTGTCAAACATACACAGAACAAAACAAATTTCCACCTCACCTTTGTGTGTTTAAGGGTGTTTTGTATTCTGCTGGGTTTTACAGAAAGTTTACTTTAAAACAGTGTCTCTGAGAAAGTTTCTTTTTTAAAGAGATGGAATAAAGATGCTGACAGCCGACTGACTCATAACCTTGTCTACCAGCAGCTGAGACACCACTATGAGGTGGTGGGTATTGTGGAGGGCAAAGCTGGCTTGGTCTTGCACTAGTATATCGAGGGGCACCAGCATCTAGGACCTCATTGTTTTCCACCTCATAGAAGCTGCCTATTTTCTAGCAACCAAAAGCAAACAACGTGCTGCTCAGTGGCTGCCCACTTAATGCTCCTGTGCTACTTCCACACCCGAGTTACTTGATAAACAAACTCTTAAGAAGTCACTTGAGAATTAAGTTGATGGAACCTCAAGTACTATTAAAATTTCTCAGGAGTTTTGCAGTATATCACATTTATCTGCTAGGGAATATAGAGTATATATCAGTATTAAAAATTTGCTCTCATATGAGAATGAAAGAGAAATCAAACATTTAGAAGAAAAAGGCCTACATAACAAACTTTTCAACCTTGATATTGCAGATCAAAATAGGATTCTAGAAGAAGGGGCCAGCTTAGACCAGTGAGAGAGTGTTTTAACTGCTTTCTTATCTTGCACCACTGATATTCCTACTTTTCTTATTTAAAAACCAGCATGGTTAAACCACTAGTTCACTGGGTGGTGTATTAATTCGATACCTTTAATTTGGCAGAAATTTTTGAAGTTACTGAAAAATTATTCTCACTGAAATATTATGATTCAAAATGCAGTACGATAACATCTGTATTTTGTAGTGGCTTGGACACAGCAGTATTCTAGTCGTGGCCTCTCAGTGACATAGAAATCTGAATGTTTTCCGTGGCTATAGGAATGAGATCATAAACCTTCAATTTTACTTTCAATTAAAAGTCAATAGGGGCCAAAGATTCAGCTCAGTGGTTCTGCCACCTGCCTCACAAGCACAAGGGCCTGAGTTCAATTCCCGGTAAAAAAAAAAAAATCAATACAGTATGTTAATTAATAGCCCAGTTATTCATAGTGCATTTTCATTTGTCAAAGATTAAAGTAGAATGACATATTTTAATAATATACTAGGAATACGCTCTGGGTGTTATTTTGTGAGTATAAGATGTAAATTATTGGTGCTGAATCTAGTCAGAATTACTGGAAAATACTTAAGTGCTTTAGTTTATACGTTTTTCTCTCAATCCAATATAAGGGTGTATTTTGAAATGTAAGGCAAATTGTGTCATTTATAAGTAATGCTTACATTTTCTCCAAAAAGAGAGTTGAATTTATGGCTAATTATGGCAATTTTCCTGTTTTAGATAAATGGCTCATTTAGCAGATAATTTTTTTTTCCTATACTTTGTTGTTTCAAAGTAGGAAAGAATATTCCAAATTACTCAGCCTTAAAATTGTAGGTGAGGTAAATATGTGATGAAAGAAGTTTGTACAAAAGTCCCTGATTTAGGGACATGTGAGGTGTGAACTTTCACAGTTAGTGTTATATCCACTACTTGATACGTTTATAAAACAGACTGAATATAGTTTCAACACATTAGTATTAGCAATCAGGGTTATTTTGAGAATCAAAATTCACTGTTCCAGGAAAACAAAGTCTAAATACTAAATGAAATAAAAAATCATATCTAATTAGATAATTATATAAAAAATATAAAGTATCTGTAATACATCTTCCTATTTCTCAAAACAAATCAGTCTCAGAAGAAAAGGAAATGATATCTAATCAAATATTTACCAAATATCATTATAATTTATCTCTTTAGTAAATACAGGCACTAGAAACGCTCCTTAGCATATTAAGAATCACATTTTTTGGATATTTTAGGTATAGTTTAAAGATCTCTCCTTTCCAGCTGCACTCTTTGCTGCCTCCCTTCCCTCTGGGGGCAGTGGGAGGTGAGGGACCTCAGCAGCAGATGGTCCATGTGCTTGCTTTGCCTGTGCGGTGAGCAGTGGAGGTGTCACAGAGGGGCCCCTGATGTGCAGGTGGCAGGGAAGCCACGAGGCTCTGAGCACCCGGATCCAGAACTGCTTGGCTCTGTCTGATCCCTGGACCAAACGTTCATGAACTCCCTTCAGATTCGGGAGGAGATTGGACCTGAAACTGAAGAAGCCCATGACTCTCAAAGAGGTTGCTTTTACATGAGAACAGGAGCTCATCTTCTGCACGGCGTAATACAGCAGATGAATCACAAAACAGTAAACTATGTCTTGGTTTGCCATGGAAGCCTTCAGCAGTGGATTTGTGTCAAATTAAGTATTTCTGGGTTCTTGTAGTGAATGCACTTAACCAATAAATGTAGACAGAACACAGTGGACCAAACAACAGATTCCTTCCTCATGATTCCACTTATGGAACAGGCCCAAGTCTCCGAAATGCTAAATGAAATTGTTTAGTAAATTAAATTAAGATCAACTGCTGATCTGTTTAATTTAGACTCAAACCTTCTGGGAAGTTTTCCTCCAAACAGAGTTCTTGCTTTACAATTAGGAAATTGTTGTGAATTTAGTTTTTTTGCAGACCAAGCCAAAATTAGACTTTAAAACTCAGGGCATTTAGAAATCTCAATTATCCAATAATTCTGAAATACTTCTTTAAAGATGGAAGGATGAATATAAGTACTATCAACAATGGCTATTATGCTAATTCTTATTTAGAGGTAGAATGACAGCTTGTTTTCTTTCTTTTGAGTTTTTGTAATCATACACACTAGAGTAATGGTGTTAAAATTGTTATATATTTTAAATAAAGATAAGGATGATATTATTCCTTAGCATCTTAAACTTTTAATTAATTTCAGTTCCAATCTCTCCTAGTTAAAAATCAGGAAAGAAATCTATCTAATTTAGCTATTACAAACCCAGCAAATACTTTTATGATCATAAGACTCCTGATTGTGAATGAGTTCATATACGTGACACTAACCTGCCTTTTGAAGTATTTGGTGGCTGGTTTGTCTTGAGTAGGTGTGTAAACACCCATGAGTAAATCACAAATAAATGTCTAGTACAGCAATCGCTGTACAGAAACAGGTTTGCCTTTCGTCAACCCTGACTGTTCCCGCTTCTGTCATCAGGCGCTTCCACGACAACGATAACTCTGGTAGCTTGAAGGTGACGTTTCAGCCCAGCTCCCAACATTTCAAAGTCATGCTTCTTTCCCTTAGTTTTTGCTTGAAATTTTAAATTTTTTCTTAACTTCAAAACAAGGTAAGATATTTTGCCCGGCTTTCTTTACAGAGTTGTTATGACTATTAAATACAATATTATCTTAGAAGTTTAAAAATGCATCAAGGCCTCTTTACATACAGATCAAATGATAACTTGTATAAATCATAGCTTGTACATAAGGAATATTATGTGACTAGAAAAATATGCAGGGAAGTCGACATAATTACTCATTTAGTTAAATTTGACAAATGCTTCCTATTACAAACCTGGACCAATTGACTAGTTTAGATAAAAATGGTAGCCTTTCCCTAAAACAGCTTGATACATCTAAAAGTATCTTAGCTGCATGTCGTTAAGAAGCCAGTTTCTTCTGAGCCTGCTTTAGTCGGTCACAGGCTTTCATTTCCAGTGTCATCTGCATGCATTTCCTTGGGTGATGTTTTGGAATTATAGAATTAGTGGTGGCAAACCATGCATACTGAGTAAATACTACTTAAATTTACAAACCCCTTTGAGTTAAATCTTGAAAGGATCAACAGTCCTCTGTAACTTCTGATCACTAATCAACTCATCACTAAGTTTCACTACTAACCATTTGACACCCTATGTTAAACATTTCCTATTATCTAAACGTGAAAAATAAGCAATCAATACTTGGGATACTGGGGAGTTAATGAGTCCAAGGGGGTCTACTTTTAACTCACAGGGTAGAGTACACAGAGCTACAGGACCCTTATCAGTTAAGGATAGGTTCTCTCAAGCATCAATATGTGCACAGAATGCTGTATTAAGAGTATTTCAGCATACCCATAGTTCCCATAGAATTAGTACTTCCATATTTTCATATTTCCAGACAACTCTAAAGGTATTCAAGATGCAGTATTTGTAATTTTCTTTAAAAACCATAATTTTTAACTACTATCCCCTGTGAGAGGCTGGTACAAAGTTTTATGTCTTATTTGCAGATATATACACATTGAACACATAAAGTTTCCATAAAGCGTTTCGAAGGGAAAGTGCAATGGTCTAAAGAAATAATTGTTCAGAGCCAGCTGTGGTGGCACAGCTCTCAGGAGGCTGAGGTAAGAGGTTCTCCTGAGTCCAGGAGTTTAAACAAAGAAAGAAAAGAAAAAAAACGGTTACGGAATAGACAAGAGAAGTTCAAGACATGTTGAATTCTGCTTATGTTCTGCAACAGGAAAGGACAGTTTTAATTTCTAAATCTATTGCTTGAAGTGCAAACTTGCACGAAGGGCGATTGGTAAGAGCGTGGGCTCTCAGGCAGCGCCATTTCTGTGAAGTAAGACAGCTGCCTGTATTCTTCACGTTGCCGCCTGCTGCATTCACCTCAGCGTAGCTAACGGCTCTTTATCAACCCTCTAGCTCTATTATTGTTCTTTGCAAATCTATTTCTGCTTCTCATATTCATTTTCATTTTAGACTCTTACTATAATAAAGAGAAACCAGCATTTCAATAGTGTGCTCACCAGGAAACACGACTGCCGGGAAAGCCATCTTATTTTGCAGTAATACAGACTGAGACAGATCAATACAACGGAGCATGTGTTCCACAAAAAAGATAAGTGACTGTGATTATTTCTTTAGCAATGTAATTTTCTAGTTGATTTTTATTTTTCATTAAATTGAATTGTTTGGTTATCAGGATCTCTCAGCCTGAATGAAGGCTAACCTCTGTACTTCAGTGTGGGAAAGGCGCACCCAGCAGTGGATGGACAGGTGCAGTCTGGCATTATCTCTGGAGATCAGGGACCCTGGGCAGGACTCAGTGTCTTGAGCCCATTGCAAATCTATCACGCAAGTTGCTGAGAAAATAACCTAAGTAATTTTTAAAAACACTTCGCACAGTGACAGGCATTGTGCACTCCATTATTGCAAATGCCTTTCACTTTATTTTCTTATTAGAAAAGCAAGTGTACCAAATTCTTGGTAGGCTCGCTGTCATTTTAGCCGTATTTCAATGTTAGCAATACTTGTGCAGCATTCTCTATGATTCTTGTGCATGAGCACTTAGTACCTACTCTAAAGATACTTGATATATATTGCTTATGAATATAATGAACTTTTTTAGCAACTGTGTTCTAGTGCCTATGTTAACTGCATATTGAGGATATTTTTAAAACTGTGTAGGACTGGGGATGTAGCTCAGTGGCACTGTGCCAGCCTGCAAAGCGCTAGGTCCCAAGTTTGATCCCTGGTACCAAAAAGAAAATGTTTAAGCCAGTTGTGGTGGTGCACGCCTATAATCCCAGTACTCAGGAAGCTGAGGCAGGAGGATCGCTGTGAGTTTGAGACCAGCCTGGTCTACATAGTGAGCTCCAGGTCAGTCTCACCTACATAGTGAGACCCTGTCTCAAAAAACAAAAAAATAAAAACAAACAAACAAACAAAAGAAAACATTTAAGTTGCAAATTGATTTGGATAATTTGAATGTTTTATGGACTAAACCTTCATTTACCCATTTTATGTACACTGTGAAGAGATCTATCTGAAAGTTAAAGTTTTTAGACAATAAAAACTAACTAGTTTAGGGAAATGTATTAACCAAGTCTGGGTTGATATACATGACCCTGGTCATTTTCCTTTATCTCATAATCTATGCATACTTGCTGTTATACTTATGAGGAAACTGCAGCTGGAAAAGTTAAAGTAGTTTTGTTTCTATCTAGAGAAGACTCACTGTTTAGTTTGAGTATATTAATGTAGTTTTAATCACACACATGCACACACACAGACATGTGCACACCTATCTTATGGAAGTGGTCATTCACCTTTCATCACAAGAAATCAAAACTCATTTCTGAAAATTAAAACTGTAAATATTCATATAGAAGCATCCCATTTAAAATAAGTAAGTAAATAATAGCAATGGAAGAATGAAAGGAAAGAAAAGAGAGAAAGGAACTCGGGATTAACATCAATCTACAGGAAAACTATCTCTGAGGGGTAAAATTACAGTTTTTTACATTATACACATTTTTTACCATAGTTATGGTTATTTTGTAATCATGAAAACGAAAACATGTCACACAAAAATATCATCCCTCACAAAAGTACCTGTTCACAGTCAATTCTGCCTCATTCTAAGACAAACACGATTTGTGCCTAGGTGATTACTAACTGCAATTTCAAAAGTCTTTAATGAGCTACGCTAATTCCTCCTTTTGGAGGTTATCAACGAAAAATGGATTCCAGAGAAGTTTCTCAGAGGAATGTGACAATACTCACTTTAAAATTCAGTGCTCAAGTGCCCAACAGCAATATGAAAACATGCTCAATGTTACTGATGAGCAGGAAAACTGCAAATCAAAACCAGAACAAGATATCACCCTACCATCATAAATGGCTCATATCAAAAAGACTGCAGGAAAGGGCAACTTTGTGCCCTACTGGTGGAAATGAAAGGCAGTACGGCCACTATGGAAAACTGTAAAATCTGAAGCAACACGAAAGCCACCCTAAGGTGCCCAAAGGAGACTGAGTTGGATGCCGGATACCGCAACCCTCAGGTCTTGGCTGATTCACAGCAGCTGAGAGACAGAAGTAGCCCGAGAGTCCACTCACGCAGGGGTGCAGACACTAGCACCCACGCACAGCAGAGTAGCCTTCAGCTGTAAACGGGGACAAAACCTTGTCATTTGCGACAATGTGGATGGAACTGGGGATTAAATGAAATTTTCCAGAGAACTGAAAGATAGCACTCACAGGTGTAATACACAAAGCTGTTCTCAGAGGTTGGAAGAGGAATATGGTCACCAGAGGCAAAGACAGGGGAGGGAGGGTTCGAGCAGGGCCCGTCGGGGGTACTGCGTTACAGTCAGGTGGGAGCAGGAGACTGGTGTATGTTGCCCAGTAGGCGGAGCATGGGTGACAATAACATGCACACAGAAAAGCTAGCAGAAAGGATGCTGGATGTTTTGCCATAAAGAAATCAAAGGTTTAAAGGTTTAAGGAGATGGGTGTGTTTAAGGTCATTTAAGTATTACCCAGCACATACATAGATGAAGACAATATGTGCCCCCTTTAGTATGCATATATCATTTTCATGCTTTTATGTATCAGCTAAAAATAAATTTAAATATAAAGGAATAAAGGAATGAAAACTTGCAAGTGTCCAAATAGACATTTCCCAAATAAACAATAACCTGAAGTTTTCCCTCTGTTCTCTTACCTGCCCACGGGCTGCTGGGAAAATGACGTGAGGTGCTAAGTATCAGGATGTTGACAAAGAATGGGAAGACTGTCTTGAGGGGCAGAAAGGTTGGCTCTGAGGTTATAAGGAGTAAGGAAAGTTCTGGTAGCAGAAGTCGTTCTCAGTCAGGATGTGAACAGGACCCGTGTGTACTGCACCTGGCGTGGGGATGACTCAGGGTCGGCTCCAGCTGTGCTCCGGTTCCTCTTAGGGCCAGGTGTGGCGGAGCACACCTGTAATCACCAGCTACTTAGGTGACTGAGGCTGGAGCACCACAAGCTCAAAGGCAGCGTGAGTGACTTCGTAGGTCCCTGCCTCAAAATAACATTAAAATGAGCTGGCTCGCCCCTGAGTTCAGTTCCCAGTACTGATTCTCTTATAAATAAGATTCTCTTATAAATAAACAATTCATTCTAGGGCACTGTGAAGTATGAAGCATGGTAGACGAGAAACTTAAGCAAAATTGGCGTTGAGTCGCTTGTTACCAAGTGTGAAGATGGTTCATTGTGCTGGAGGAAGCAGATGCAGGCAGGGACGCTGGATGCTGCTAAGGCACCTGTGGCTGGGAGGCAGCCCCCTCCTTTGTAGAGTAGAGTATGAGGGGCTGAGAGGGAAAACAGCGGATTAGGGAGAGTGACCTTTCTTTTCCACTGCAAATAATCTTTCAGGTACCAATTACTCATTACATAATACACGTAATCCCCAGAAAGTCAAGCAAATGAATCCTTCTGATGGATGTGGAAAGCTGGCGCCTGTCAGTCAGAAGCACATTACCTTTCCATTAGCTAAGATGTTTAATAGGAAACCAGAAATACTACACACTGTATTGGTGACAGCAAATGCTTTCAGAAGAATATATAACACTGACCAATACCTTCTCTTGTGTGTGTGTGTGTGTGTGTGTGTGTGTGTGTGTGTGTGTGTGTGTGTTTTGAGACAAGGTCTCACTCTACAGATCAAGCTAGCTTTGAACACATGTTATTGCCCAGGCTGGCCTCTGAACTCAAGGCAACCCTCCTGCCTCAGCCTCTGGGATTACAGGTGTGTGCTACTATTCCCAGATCTACTTGTGTCCTGCATGGCTTATACACAGTTATTTGTTTTGAAATTAGCCTTTACTCTTTAAAGCAGAGTTATGATCTATGTATTGAAGAATGAAGCCTTAAACTGCTTTCATGCTTATTTAATCATGTAGTTTTCTACATGTGAAAATGGACTTTAGATTATAAATGACTTAATTCTACGAAGACTATAGCCATGCTTTGGGAAAAACGTAGGACAGCTTCATGTACATTTTTCTATGTTACATCAGGAACTTTAGAAGGAGGATAACTTTGAGAGAAGACCAAGTAAGTAAGATGCACTTCAATAAGAATGTGGCAATGTATTTAAATGAATATTTACTATATTGCTACAGAATAGAAATTGTGTTGGGAAACATGGGTTGTCAAAATTTATTTTAAGCATTGCTTTTTCTACTTATTGGCAATGTGTTATATTACTTCCTCTTCTGTAGATAATATTTTACTTCCTTTGCATGCTTTAGAGAAATACAGGTGCTTAAAAGTAAGTTTTCTTTAATTTATTAGTACATGCTTCTATTTACTCTAAGGAATTGGTAGGTGTACATAACATATTTCAATTCTTTTTTCTCCTTCAGTCTACACCCTTTTTATGTTTCTGGTATCACATTCATTCATTTTATAAGACTTTATGAAGTTAATCATCATATATACAGATTAAAAGCCAGACTTATAGGCCTAGGAACATATAAAACATGGAAGACACTTACACTAAGTCAAAGTACAATTTTAGATTCATTATCTTCACAAAGATAAGTTTTGATGTTAAAATTCTAGAGCTCTGGCTGACACGTAGGCTCACAAGTCAGAAGGTTCCACTGATTTTATTGTTAGTACTATTAATGCTGTGTCTTTATACAAACCCGAATCTTGGATTCGGTTTTATGAGCTATCCTGCTGCCATACTTATTTGCTATTATTTATCATAAGCTCTTTCTGCAGTGAGGATGAAACCTCTGCCCACGTAACCGGTAAGAGCAGCACGTGGGTCACTTTCAGCTACAGGAAGCGCCACAGTCACATCCAGGGCCTCGGCCGTTCCGATCACTCTGTATTTCCAGAAAGGAAACCCAACAAAACAATGAAAACCTGTAATCTGTATTACACAAACCAAAAGACATGGAGATAGAGTGCTGTAGCTAAAGGACTGAATTTTAAAGGTGTGAAAGTGGTTTTCAGAACACTTATATAATTTTAATTGAACAAGTGAAAAACAAGAGTTATATTTTAATAACAAAATTTTAAAAATCGTTTCCTTTCAAAGACTTCCTGAGATGCTTTTATTTATGATTTTGTATCAGTTTCATTTAAAAATTGTTAGAGAACTGTCTCTAAGCTTAATGGCCTTAGTTCTGTTAATAAATCAAATGTGAAAATCACTGAAAAATTATGAGACCTAAAAACACTATTTGGGTTCTTAAATGGTATCAAATTTATTCACGCTTGAATGTAGTGCAAGTGTTAAGGCATCAGCCGGTGTTGCTTTCTTAGCGTGGTCTTACTCTCTAAGGCGCTCGCTCCGTGCCAGGCTTGGCCGCGGGCTTGGGGAGGCCCCACTGTCACTGTCTGGGGCGCCAGGGCAGCAGGGCCACAGCTCGTGCTGGGCGGCTTCAGCCTGAGCCCGATGG